CCTAGCCACCGTACTGTTGGTTGACAGTCGCCAACTCGCCTCCAACCTGATCCGGGCTTGGGATATGTTTTGGGCCACTTGACGTCTGTGTCGTCTATAAAAGAATGCGGCTTCAGTCTTTTGCGATCGAATTGCACCCCGTTGGTCACCCCCCACTCGATGGCTACTTCGGCTGCTTTCTCAAGGGTCCTACAAGCCTCCTTCACTGAGCTTGCGGCTGTTATCAGGCCTTGGTCGTCCACAAAGGATAGACATCGAATCTCTGGCACACTCCTCTCAATGGCTCTAGACAGCCCATGAACATACAAAACAAACAGGATAGGTGACACCGGAGAGCCCTGAGGTAGCCCAGAGCTTATCGATGTTTCCTTTCCAATGTGTCCGTCAATCACAAGGGTGACTCGCCGATCAGATAGAAACGAGACTACCCAGCGTATAAGGTCTCCATCCACGCTAGCCTCTCTGAGGACCTCGATTAGTCTGGCCAAGACAACATGGTCAAAGGCCCCCTTAATATCCATAAACAGTGCTGCAGCCAGCTTCCCATTCGCCCAGGCTTGGTGAATCTCCTCAACTAAGCATGCCACGGCATCAATTGCACTGCGTTGCCTACGGCCTCCAAATTGGCCATCGTGGAAGAGATCTTGGGCCTCTGCAAAGTTTGTGATCAACTCTGCCACGAGCTTCTCAATCACCTTCCCTAGACACTTCAATAGGCTTATCACTCGATATGCACTAGCCAGTGTGTAGTTGGTTTTGCCGTTCTTTCTCAAGAGAACCCCCTTAGCTATTTTCCAGATCCGCGGATGTATCCCAAGCCTAAGGCACTGTCTTACCAGGCTGACCACGCGCTCTGAATCTAGGTTCCACAAGAGCCTGATAGCTCTGAAGTTCAATAAATCTGTACCCGGAGCTTTCTCTAGTCCCTGGCTAAAGAGGGCATTCTTGACTGCTTCCTCGTTAACCAGCTTGTGGGCAGATCCAGGCTCAGGAAGCTGCAACTCAATGTTGCTGTTTGGAGCCTGTGGAAAAGCGCGGTGTCTAAAAACCTCCTCCTTCTCACTAAAGGTGGCTGCAATCACCTCCCCAGAGGCCTCATCAGTTAGAGCTGGTGTAGTACCTTGTGTTTGTAGTTTGGTATAGCGTAAGGCTGTCCAACACCGTTTCTGGTCAGGCAGAGAACCTTCAGATGTGCCCTGGAGGAAACCCTCCCAGCACTCTCTTTTGATTCTCCTGATTAGTGAATAGAAAGCCTTGCGTGCTTCTCGATGCTTTTCCTCGCTAATCTCACCAGCTTGATAGGCCTTACGAGCCTTGGAATACGCGCTTCGTTCTGCCTCAATCTCACTGTTCCACCAACGCTTTGAGCGGGCACAAAGCTTGATCTGTTTGCAATGTCTATTCAGTACCTCTGTCAGGGTTTTCTCGATCCACTCAGCTTCACGTTCCACTTCCTCTGTTGAGGTCGAGTCTGTTAGTCTTAGTTGGGTCTTTGCCAGTTCGTTCCAGGTGTCTTTTGCCGCCTGCAGGGCCTCCTATTATTATTATTATTATTAATCAAGTTTATTGTCCGTACCCAGCCCTATTGGCTATGACAGACCTCTGGAAGCCTTGGTGAGACCCTAAAGGCCTCACCCCTATCAGAATCATACATACAAAAATTCAAAATAAATCACTATCTCGTCCCCATGTGGCCGATATGCCAGGGACCTTTGGGCACTCTCCCTAGGCTAATCCTCCCGGAGATCCCTTATAGCTCCAAACCCGTGGGCACACCTAATCAGTACAAACTCTGACTAGCGTGCCCTCACCCCTATTCATCCTCCAATGTGACACCTAGGCCACCTTCCTCCAACGTATCCCACCCCCACGCATCACTAGACTCAGCCTCTCTGGCTGTCCGCTCCTTATCATTGAATAGGTTGGCTTCAGCCACGAATTGCAGCAAGCCCTGCGTCGCTCTAGGCTCAGCAAATAGCCTAGCCTCGGGGTCTTCCTCAGCCGCTGTAGGCAGTGGCACGCCTGCTTTTTTGAGGGCTTGATAGAGAGTTCTTCGTCCTGTTCGACGTCCACGGCACTCAAAGAGTACATGCCTTACTGTCTCATGAGGCTCCTTGCAGGCCTGACACTCAGGCGATTCCCGTCGGCCTATCCGGTATAGATAGGTACCAATTGGGGCATGTCCTGTCTTTAACTGGTAGTATCGACTAGCCAATCTTTTCGGAGCTTTTCCTGCCACTGGGTCAAGGTTCCAACCTCGAGGCATCTTGTAGACACGTCCATATCTATGCCTGCCTTGTACAGCATTGATTTGAGCCCATTCAGATACTGCGGCTCTCCTTGCTTCCGTGCAAGCCCTTCTAACGTGCGCTAAAGATAGGTGCTCAAAACCAGGCGCGGTTTGTTTACTAGCTGCACGTTTAGCAGCTTGATCAGCCTGCTCGTTCCCTTCAATCCCTGAGTGGCCTGGGACCCATTGTATTGTGACTGGTTGGCCTCTCAAGGCTAGTTTCTCAGCTGCCTTGTGAGCCCTGAGAACAAGGGCTTGCCCAGGGCCTGGCCTTGTCGATCTGAGGCGATCAATAGCATTCTGTGCGTCAAGGAACACCCAGATAGGACCAAGAGGTTGCCTCTCCAGTGCCCATTCAAGGGCTGTGGCTACTCCCACTAGTTCTGCGTCAAACACCTCGTGTCCGTGGCCCATTGGCACCTCTACGTGTTCCCAGGGGCCTCCAGGTACAGCCTGTAAAGTGACACCGGCTCCTGCACGTCCTGTATCGAGTCTAGAGCCGTCTGACCAAAACGTTGTTCCAGCACGCTGTTGATTAGCCTCTGTTAGGGCCTCTTCATTGTCAAGTACTCGGATCGAGCCTGGGAAGCTTTTGAGCTCATATTGTTCAGTTCTCTCAATTCCTCCAGAGGGGTCTCTGTTCAACCGTTGAGCAAGGTGCTTTGCAAGCCTTTGGCCAAGTCGATTTAGCACCTTGTTGTCTCTAGAGGCCCATTCACGGTCGTCCAGTGGTTGCTCTCCAGGTTGTGCGCGGAGGTCACCATGTCTGAGGGTGACTGGAAGTATCTGCGCTGTATGATGCGTGTCAGGCAGAGCTAGTAGCCTCGCTGTGTATCGAGCTACTCTAGCGTCCAGTAAGACTGTCGCTGGCTCTAACGCTGCCTCTCTGATTAGGGCTCCGATTGGGGTTTTTGGGAACATGCCCGTAATACCTCTGGCTTGCTTATTGATCAGAATCTGGATCCTTTGTGCCCATGTTTTCTGGCCTTGCCACCATATCTCGGCACCCCATAGCAATTGGGCTTGCACTGTAGCCTTCTGTATGCGCCTCACTAATGCTGGAGGTAACCCATTAGCTCTGCAGAGTGAGTTTAACCTGATTATCGTATTTCTTGCTGTCTTAATTCGAGCGTTGTAGTGGCTCTTCCATGTAAGTTGGTTATCTAGGAGTATCCCTAGCCACCGTACTGTAGATTTGACAGTTGCCAACTCGCCTCCAACCCTGATCCGGGCTCGAGATACGTTTTGGGCCACTTGACGTCTGTGTCGTCTATAAAAGAAAGCGGCTTCAGTCTTTTTGCGATCAAATTGTACCCCGTTAGCCACCCCCCACTCGATGGCTACTTCCGCGGCTTTCTCGAGGATCCTACAAGCCTCCTTCACTGAGCTTGCGGCTGTTACTAGGCCTTGGTCATCCACAAAGGACAGACATCGAACCTCTGGCACACTCCTCTCAATGGCTCTTGATAGCCCATGAACGTATAGAACAAAGAGAATGGGTGACACCGGAGAGCCCTGAGGTAACCCAGAGCTTATCGGTACTTCCTTTCCCACGTGTCCATCAATCACAAGAGTGACTCGCCGGTCAGATAGAAATGAGATCACCCAATGTATAAGATCTCCATCCACGCTAGCCTCTCTGAGCACCTCTACCAGTTTTGCTAGGATGACATGGTCAAAGGCCCCCTCAATATCCATAAATAGAGCTGCAGCCAGCTTCCCATTTGCCCAAGCTTGATGGATCTCCTCCACTAGACATGCCACAGCATCAATTGCACTGCGTTGCTGACGGCCTCCAAATTGACCATCATGGAAGAGGTCTTGAGCCTCTGCAAAGTTTGTAATTAACTCTGCCACGAGCTTCTCAATCACCTTGCCTAGGCACTTCAATAGGCTTATCACTCGATACGCACTAGCCAGTGTGTAGTTGGTTTTACCGTTCTTTCTCAGTAGAACTCCCTTGGCTGTTTTCCAGACACGTGGATGTATCCCAAGCCTGAGGCACTGCCTAGTCAGGCTAACCACACGCTCTGAGTCTAGATTCCATAAGAGCCTGATAGCCCTGAAGTTCAGTAAATCTGTACCTGGAGCTTTCTCTAGTCCCTGGCTAAAGAGGGCATTCTTGACAACTTCCTCGTTGACCAGCTTGTGGGCCGATCCTCGCTCAGGAAGCTGTAACTGCATGTTACTGTTTGGAGCCTGTGGAAATGCACGGTGTCTAAAAACCTCCTCCTTCTCGCTAAAGGTGGCTGCAATCACCTCCCCTGAGGCCTCATCGGTGAGAGCTGGTGTGGTGCCTTGTGTTTGTGGTTTAGTATAGCGTAAGGCTGTCCAACACCGTTTCTGATCTGGCAGAGAGCCCTCAGACGTGCCCTGAAGGAAACCCTCCCAGCACTCTCTTTTAGCTCTCCTGATCAGTGAATAGAAGCCCTTACGTGCTTCTCGATGCTCCTCTTCGCTAATCTCACCCGCTTGGTAGGCCTTACGAGCCTTGGAATACGCGCTTCGTTCTGCCTCAATCTCACTGTTCCACCACCGCTTAGATCGAGCACAAAGCTTGATCTGTTTGCAGTGCTTGTTCAGGACCTCTGTCAATGTTCTCTCGATCCACTCAGCTTCACGTTCCACTTCCTCTGTTGAGGTTGTGTCTGTTAGTATTGGTTGAGTCTTTGCTAGTTCGTTCCAGGTGTCTTTTGCCTCCTGCAGAGCCTTTTTGTCTCCTAGTAGAGCCTCTATCTGCCACCCTGTGACTTCTTTCCTTGTGGGCTCTGTACTCGCAGTTGTCGGAGGTTCCCAGCTAGCCCAAATCATAACATGATCTGACGGCGTGAGCCTCTGGCTTTCGATTTCCCATCCAGATAGAGGGCCAAGGGCTTGACTACTGATTGTGAGATCAATAATTGAGACCCTAGGCTCAGTAGATGTTTCTAATGATGCTGTAGAATCTCTAAGCTTATGAGGCCTTGTTGGCTCGTCAGGGTCGTTATTAATAAAGAGGTCATGCCTCATTATTAGATCCTCGAGGGATCTTGCGTTAACCCTCTGGTCGATATGGACATTCCACATCGGGCTGTGGGCGTTGAAGTCTCCAAGAATGAGGCATCGACCCTCTAAAATTGGTCCCCAATCAAGATCTGAAAGGGCTCTTCTTGTAAGTAGGCTCTCTCCTGAGTATGTGTGACGTGCACCTAACCAGTTGTCATAGCAGTTCACTATCCTTGTACGCCTCCCCTGTTCTAGCACGTCAACCACCATAAAATATGGATGGTTAGCTAGATCTGTACGCGCCTCCACCACTAATTCTCTCACTAAATCTCTCCGAATCGCTGTCACTACTCGAGCATGTTCTCGAGGACCCTCAGGCCAGTAGAACAGGAAGCCAGGATGGCTTATCTGGTATTTTCCACGTACCGGGGGCTCCTGGAGACAGGCTATCCCGGCACCAGCCTGTAGTGCCACTTCTAGGGCTGTATGTACTACAGCGCCTGTACGGGCACAGTTATGTTGTAGTACTATCATAGATCCTCACTTTGAGGCGCTTCGGTGGCTGACTTGAGCTCTGGCTCTAGTGGTTGTTGGCTATTTCCCTCGTGAATATCAGCCTCTAATTGCATCTCAGGCAGCAATTCATCTTCTTCTGGAGTTGACGTCTCCTCCTCTAGAGACTGTCCAGGTCTCTCCTCCAAGGTCAGTACCGGTTTTGGAGGCACTACCGCGAATGTCTCATCTAATGGGATGAGGTCTTGTAAGGATTGTTCCCTCATTCTCCGGATAGCCCTTTGACGAGCCTCCCTAGCTTTAGGGCACTTAGGAGATGTAGCCTCGTGTGCACCTTTGCAGTTAGCGCACTTGATCACTGTGTGTTTGCAAGGTTTAGCTGGGCCAACCCTACAATCCACTACTGTACATGAGTGCTCTATTGCCTCATGATCACCTGCGCAGATCGCGCATTTAGGAGACCTGCCACCACAAGCCATGAAGCCAGAGTGGCCAATTCCGCAGCATCGAGGGCAGATACTCTCAGGATTTGACTCCCAATAAGGTGCTACTCGATGGTGTCGGCCTCCAAACTTGATGCCTTTATTGATCAGTGTTCGAGCTTCCTCCAAAGAACCTACTGTGATCACAATCGTGGCAAATCTCTGGTTGCTAGCCTGTATAGTCTTGGCTCTCTTGAGCCACGTTGGCTCTCGTTTAAGCCTATATGGTGTTCCCAGCTCAATCTCTTCTTGGGCTAGTGCTAGGCCTTGGTCATTATACATGTAGCGGTCCACAGGCACTGCCTGTACCTTAACACGGTGCCACTGTTCGCTAATCTCCACGGAAATAACTGCTGGATCTGTTTGCCTTACAGCGGCTAGTAGAGTATCGTTGTAGACGGGCACGAGGGTGCTGCTGCGAGTGCCTCGCTCTAGGAGCACTGTTAAGGCCCCTGAGGCCGCGTATCCAGAATCGACCGCTCTTACAAAGTCAGGAAAACCTGCCTTAGCAAGGGCACGGTTAAGGGCTAAGAGGATATCGGCTTTCAATGCGGTAGGAGCATCTTTAGGATATCGTCGTCTAAAGATTAGGCGCCTCTCCTCCTTACTCCGGGTACTTACGGGCTTCAAATTAGTTGTTGACAGAGCCTTCGAGGGTGCCAAGGCCTGTTTCTTATACTGGACGGTTTTCCATCCTCCAGACTGGGTGTTATTCGCGGCAATAGCGGCCCATTTCGTAGGTGCGGGCTTGGTCAGTGGCTTAGCGGTAGTTTCGGGCTGTTTGGTGGTCTTCGCGGCGGTTCCAGGTACCTTTTTAGGGCCCTCAGGTGGCTGTATGGCTTGCTTCGTAGCCTTTGTTGGATTCTGATATCGCGGTGGAGGCTGAGGTGCGGTTGAGTTTATCGCGCGGCTCTCAGGCGCGGCATCTAGCTGTATTGGGGTGGACGCTAAACCTCCCGTGGAAGCGGCTCTTGGCGGTGGCCCGTGCGCCGCAACCTCACGCGTTGCAGCGAAGGGGTCGAGTGGTAGGATTTGACGGCTTTGTAGCGCGTTCACGTAAGTTTCAAGGCTCTCTAGCCTAGCGTTGAGAGTAGTAATGAGGCCCTGTTGGGTATTGATCACGTTTCTGGCAGTCGTCAGCTCCGCGGAGAGCTGGTGGACCGCCTCTTGCAGATGGCCGTTGAGGTCCTCGATCAGGCCCATCACGAGGCTATCCTCTGCAGGAGCACTCGCTGCACGCATTGCGGTAAGTGTAATCTTCCTCTTCGGAGCCGCGCTCAATCCAGACCTAGTTATAGGAGTCCGAGATCCTATAGTCAGCCTTGAGGCCTTCCTTTTCTCGAGGATCGTTCCTGGGGCTTGTTGGGTTTCTCCAGTCTGTCGTGGCGCTTGTAGAGCGTCGCTATTGCTCAAAGTAGGTTCATTGGACTGTTTCTGACAGTCTCCAAGTCCTGCAAATAGTGCACGGGTAGTTGGAGGTAGCTGTGACGTTTCCTGGGAGGGTGTCGATGAATCAACCCCAGATCCAGGTCCTATGATTTCTGGATCTCCAGTGGCCCCTGGAGGCCTCTCTGGACTTTCCATGAGGGGTTTTCGATGCTAAGAAGCCTGCAAAGGCCCTTGGAAAGCTCAATAAGCGTGGTTCGTCGTCAAATCAGGATCTCGCTGTTTTTTCCTGGTCTTGTTTAAAAGGCCCATGTCTTGCAGGGCCTCCTTGTCTCCTAGTAGATTCTCTATTTGCCAGCCTGTGACTTCTTTCCTTGTAGGCTCTGTAATTGTCATTGCTGGAGGTTCCCAGCTTGCCCAGATCATGACGTGATCTGACGGTGTAAGCTTCTGGCCTTCGATTTCCCATCCAGATAAGGGCCCGAGGGCTTGATTACTGATTGTAAGATCAATAATTGAGACCCTCGGCTCCGTGGATAGGTTTTGTGTGCTTGTTTCATTCCCTGACGATGCTGTAGGACCTCTAGATTTATGAGGTCTTGTTGGTTTGTCAGGGTCATTGTTGATAAAGAGGTCATGCCTCGTTATCAGATCCTCCAGGGATCTCGCGTTGACCCTCTGGTCGATGTGGGCATTCCACATCGGGCTGTGAGCGTTAAAATCTCCAAGAATGAGACATCGGCCCTCTAAAATTGGTCCCCAATCGAGATCTGAAAGAGCTCTTCTTGTAAGTAGGCTCTCTCCTGAGTATGTATGACGTGCTCCTAGCCAGTTGTCATAGCAGTTCACTATCCTCGTACGCCTCCCCTGTTCTAGCACGTCAACCACCATAAAATATGGATGGTTACCCAGATCTGTGCGCGCCTCCACTACTAATTCTCTCACTAAATCTCTCCGAATCGCTGTCACTACCCGAGCATGTTCTCGAGGACCCTCAGGCCAGTAGAACAGAAAGCCAGGATGGCTTATCTGGTATTTTCCACGTACCGGGGGCTCCTGGAGACAGGCTATCCCGGCACCAGCCTGTAGTGCTGCTTCAAGGGCTGTATGCACTACAGCGCCTGTACGGGCACAGTTATGTTGTAGTACTATCATAGCTCCTCACTTTGAGGCGCTTCGGTGGCTGGACTAAGCTCTAGCTCTAGTGGCTGTTGGCTATCTCCCTCATGAATGTCAGCCTCTAATTGCATCACAGGCAGTGATTCATCGTCGTCCTCCTCTAGAGCTAGTGTCTCTTCTAGAGGCTGTCCGGGTCTCTCTGCTGAGGTCAGTACTAGCTTTGGAGGGACTACTGCGAATGTCTCATCCGATGGGATGAGGTCTTGTAAGGAGCGTTCCCTCATTCTCCGGATGGCCCTTTGACGAGCCTCTCTAACTCTAGGACACTTAGCAGATGTGGCCTCGTGTGCACCTTTGCAGTTAGCGCACTTGATCACTGTGTGTTGGCAAGGTTTGGCTGGGCCAACCCTACAATCCACTACTGTACAAGAGTGTTCTATCGCCTCATGGTCACCTGCGCAGATCGCGCATCTAGGAGGCCTGCCACCGCAAGCCATGAAGCCGGAGTAGCCGATTCCGCAGCATCGGGGGCAGATACTTTCAGGATTTGACTCCCAATAAGGTGCTACTCGATGGTGCCGGCCTCCAAACTTGATGCCTCTATTGATCAGTGTTCGAGCTTCCTCTAAGGAACCTACTGTGATCACAATCGTGGCAAATTTCTGGTTACTAGCCTGTATAGTCTTGGCTCTCTTAAGCCACGTTGGCTCTCGTTTAAGCCTATATGGTGTTCCCAGCTCAATCTCTTCTTGGGCCAGTGCTAAGCCTTGATCGTTATACATGTAGCGGTCCACAGGCACTGCCTGTACCTTGACACGGTGCCACTGTTCGCTAATCTCCACAGAAATAACTGCCGGGTCTGTTTGCCTTACAGCGGCTAGTAGAGTATCGTTGTAGACGGGCACGAGGGTGCTGCTGCAAGTGCCTCGCTCAAGGAGCACTGTCAAGGCTCCTGAGGCTGCGTATCCAGAATCGACCGCTCTTACAAAGTCAGGAAAACCTGTCTTAGCAAGGGCACGGTTGAGGGCCAAGAGGACATCAGCTTTTAATGCGGTACGGGCATCTTTAGGATATCGTCGTCTAAAGATTAGGCGTCTCTCCTCCTTGCTCCGGGTGCTCACGGGCTTCAATTCCGTTATCAATAGAGTCTTTGAGGGTGTTGGAGCCTGTTTCTTATACTGGACGGTTTTCCATCCTCCAGATTGGGTATTGTTCGCGGCAATAGCGGCCCATTTCGTAGGTGCGGGCTTGGTCAGTGGCTTAGCGGTAGTTTCAGGCTGTTTGGTGGTCTGCGCGGCGGTTCCAAATACTTTTTTGGGGCCCTCAGGTGGCTGTACGGCTTGTTTCGTAGCCTTTGTTGGATTCTGATATCGCGGCTGCGGCTGAGGTGCGGTTGAGTTTATCGCGCGGCTCTCAGGCGCGGCATCTAGCTGTATTGGGGTGGACGCTAAGCCTCCCGTGGAAGCGGCTCTTGGCGGTGGCCCGTGCGCCGCAACCTCACGCGTTGTGTCAAAGGGGTCGAGTGGTAGGATTTGACGGCTTTGTAGCGCGTTCACGTAGGTTTCAAGGCTCTCTAGCCTAGCGTTAAGGGTAGTAATAAGGCCCTGTTGCGTGCTGATCACGTTTCTTGCGGCTGTTAGCTCGACGGAGAGCTGGCGGATCGTCTCTTGTGTTTGGCTGTTGAGATCCTCGATCAGGCTCATCACAAGGCTATCCTCTGCAGGAGCACTCGTTGCACGTATTGTGGCAAGTGTAATCTTTCTCTTTGGAGCCGCGCTTAATCCAGACCTAGTTATTGGGGTCCGAGATCCTATGGTCAGCCTAGAAGCCTTCCTTTTTTCGAGAGTCGTTCCTGGAGCTTGTTGGGTTTCTCCAGTCTGTCGTGGCTCTTGTAAAGTGTTGCTGTTGTCCAAAGTAGGTTCTTTGGACTGTTTCTGGCTACCTTGAAGTCCTGCAAACGGTGCACGGGTAGTTGGAGGTAGCTGTGACGGTTCCTGGGAGGGTGTCGATGAATCAACCCCAGATCCAGGTCCCATGATTTCTGGATCTCCAGTGGCCCCTGGAGGCCTCTCTGGACTTTCCATGAGGGTTTTTCGATACTAAGAAGCCTGCAAAGACCCTTGGAAAGCTCAATAAGCGTGGTTCGTCGTCAAATCAGGATCTCAGATAAGGCCAAGATTGCGTTGTCGCTGTGCATGGAAAATAATTTTATGATTAATTTTTCATTTAGTCCGCTTACGTGGACGCTAAAGGAGTTTATCAACAAAATAACAATCTATTGGATCGCTTCATTAAGTTATCCACTTTATATTCAGATATAGGTACGTATATCGCTTCATTGGATCGCTTCATTGAAGTATCCACTTTATATTTAGATATAGATACGTATTGCCTCATTAGATCGCTTCATTAGACTGCCTACTTTCTACTACGATGAAGTCTATAGATTTATACAACTTCAATCAAGATCCGGGTCTTCAGCGTTGACCTAACTTCCTAATATCTATATGCATTAGTATCATATCACATTCCTCGTTGCATCAGCATCTCCCATGGCGTCGTCAATTTCCCAATACATCATCGATTCCTATAGCGAGCGTCCTCGATTCCGTGGGATTCCATATATTGCATTGTTTTTGCGTCGTTCGTATGGGTTGCATGGTTTACATCCCCAAGTTAGGGAATAAATATCTCCCATCCTCCTCCAACTCCCCCGCTTCCTTTCTTCTTATAAATCACTTCCAACCATCGAGATTCTCCTCACTTGCTGCTGCCGCTGCTCCTGCAACACAAGTACCACCACCACCATCACCAGCATGCTCAGAATGCTCAAATTTGCTTTTGGAGCCATGCCCGGCCTCTTCGGCGGCTCCGTCTCTGTCCTCACTAAGATCCTGGAGTTCTTGACTCTCGTCAAGGATATTCTCGATGTCGTCAAAGACATTGTCGCCATCGTGAAAGAACTGAAGGGCCAACCTCGATGGGGCCATCAAATAAGTACTCTTTCCGCTATTCCACACCTTTCACAACCAACTTATCAACTCTTTCTTGGATTCTTCAAAGCTCTGCCCTCCGCCGAGAGCTCCTTTGTTTCGGTGTTCATTCTGCATGCTTCGAGTAAGCACAGCTCTTATAACACCATCGCAACATCATATACTAATATCACTATAGGTTCAGTTTCTAAGTTATTTCGGGGGGGACGGGGAACAAGAAGGAAGGTTAAAGGGGGTTGCTTGAGAGGTTGGAATTGCTGTCGTTATTACTTCTGCTTACTAATAATCAAATCCCTGCTCTTTTTCCTGCTCCATATTTTTTTATATTTCAAATGATCAGAAATTTTTGTAGCATTCGAGTACGTACTGAACGCATTCGCAACAGACAGCGTTCACGCTGACAGATAGATACTTGTATGATGAAGCATATAACGAAGCGATTCAATGAAGCGATACGATGAATACGATGGCAGTTATCAGGGCGGTGAGTATATGATCCAATCAAAATTGACATGTGGCGATATGTGAATATTACAAAGTGTTACGGATAATACAAACTCTATTTTCGGCAAAATGGAAATTTGAATTAAGTGGTGAAATCCGCATTTAGTCCGCCGTATCTAGTCGTCCAGAATTCCAAAACAGCGCTACCAGCTGGCACCGTTGAAGTTTGCATTCGGTAAGACATAAGACACACACTTACTTTGGGAAGTTAGTGATGGCCAAGACAAGGAGAGAGCGGACTTAAAATAGACAACATACAGTTACGCCAGTCAATCCACAGATTCTCATTTCGGGTCTCTTTTCTATACTCCAGACGTCAGTCTACCCTCAGCTAGCCGGTTGGGACAATAATATTATCAACAAGAGGTTTGATTGTCAATTGCACAAGGTATAGAGTTTTGCCAGGAAGAATACTGCACCAAGTGTATACTCCGAAATCTTGCTATTTTTTTTATGCCAGGCTTCTGCAACGTATTAGCGCGAAGAAAGAAAGTAAAGTAAACAAAACATATCCCTAGTTCCTCCATTACGGTATATATCCCTTTCTTAGGGCCAGTAAGTCACGTAGTAGTCACGTGATTCCGTGACAAAGTTATTGCATAAAAACAATATCGTTCCCGCTGGTGAATTTTATGTAAAAAATACTCCAATTTCATTAGTTCTTGATTTTTGTTGAATATAGATATCTCGGTGGATGTGTTGTTCCGATATGGAAGTGGGTCTGTGCCTACATGGTGTATATAACCAGTCCATCAGCCCCTCAAGATTAGAAAATCAATGAATAATCTGATACCTCTGAACTTACCTCAATCAACAGGTTATGAGCCCGGGACGCTTCCACTGAGCTAACATGCTTATACAATGCTGGAGAACTTCATCCAAAGGCTAAGCCTCAGCTCGAAACATAACTCCCATCAACTAGAATCATCTGATTAACGATGTCTAGGAACTATGGACGCTATGGCGATACGGAAGGGACACGAAGACTTGAGAAGAAATAAAAGAATTGCTACTTTCCTCCAGATATCGCATCTCATTATGAGCGATTTGATGACGTGACAGGATGCCATATGGCATATATGAAACCCGTCGGATATCCCGGAATCATGGTACGAGCAATCTGATGACGCGGCAGGTTTCATATAAAACATCACCAGTCAGGCTTCACACTGATATATAACCACGTGATAATGCTATGATAAATCCCGCAGTCATCCGAGATAGCGCTGAAACTGTCGATTCATCACTGATTCATACCGATAAAACGTCATCTCCGGATCAATGATGGCACCACTCCGTTTTAAAAGAAGAAAGAGAAAGACTGTACGAAAGAACCACTTCTGGACATTGGAGGACTACAGGATTCTTTCACACCTGCGGTACCTTCACCGCTGGAGCACCAAAAAGGTCCAGGAATCACATTTTCCTTCGCTATCACTAGGCGCACTTGCTACAGCCTACTCGCGCACATTCTCCGAGGTTCATATACGCCAGGCACTACTCACCACCCACCGTACTCAATCAATGTGTGTTGAGTACGGACCTTGCTATCTTTATCCTTCTCATTATCAGCCTCAAGCCACTCCATCTCCGTTGGATCCTCAAGTTGGACCTGCAAGATTGAATCACGGCGACAAAAACCGTTATAACCTTCGACCAAACCGGCCCCTCGAATTTCCGCAGAAGAAACCAAGATATCTAATTGATCATTCTCGCTTCCCTCATTTCTTCAAATCCTATAAACAACATCTGGGGTCACACGACTCGCCGGATAGAGACTATACCCCTCCATCCTGCACCCCCTCGCTAGACTCATCAGATCGAAGCCCGTCGGTTATCTCGACGCAGCTCAGTGAAGCCTCTAGCCTAGAACTTTTTGGTCTGGAGCCACGTTCTCCGGAAGCATCACACAGAGAATCTACCCCAAGTCAATCCAGCAATACATTGAGCTCCGAATTCGTCAGTGCTGATGAACATCTACCCTCACCATGACTGATATTGTGAAATTTGAGCAATTTGGCCTGAATTCATTCTATAATGCTATTCCCATTCTTGACAACGCCAATGACTGGTTCAAATGGAGCCAGAAAGTCAAGGAGTTCATCCGGATATCTGCCGTTGCCGATGATGGAGCGGCTCCGCCAGAGGACGAAGAAGAAGAAGCACAGAAATGGACTCACCGCCAGAAGCTTTACTCCGCTATGATCGCGGCCAAATTAACGCACGACGCAGCACAACGGATTAACGCCTTTGATATCACTCAAGTACAATCGCTTCTCAAGGCAGTCAAGGCCAAATTCAAACCAGGGGGATCTGGAACATATGTACAGCTGCAGAAACGATATATGTCTCTCTCTAGAGCAACATGTGGGAGTGTTCAAGCCCTCGGGGCTGAGATCAGGAAAATTCATGCGGAGAAACTCCTCCTTGACAAGGACTGTGTCACTTCCGAAATTGAGCGTATATTCTTCTTCCTACAGGCATTGGGTCCCGAGTATGAGAGTTTTCGCGACCACACCTTCCGACAAACAGACATGGTTAATGAAAGGAACGAAGATGGAGAAATTACAACGGCAGCACCTACATTTGACTCGATTGAAAACAAGGCGATCGAAGAAGAGCATAGAAAAGGACAACTAGGCAAGCTACCGGATCCACAAGTGCTTCCTACCTTCGCTCTGATGCGAAAATCCGGGGACCGCAAAATTACACCGTCGGCGGATGGAACCACGTGTATTATTGAGACAATTCAAAACGCTCCATACTGCTCATTTTGTCAGAAGCCTTACCATGTGGAAGCTCGTTGCTTCAAGAAAAATCCAAAGCTAAGGGATCAGGGGAAAGACGATAAGGCCCGCAAGGCAAAATCTGATAATTCACGGACAGACACGCGCAACTCGTCCAAAAAGCGGTCTAGCACTGATGATGAAGACGACAACGAGGGCGGCCCAAGAGATCCGAAGCGACCCACCTTCATGGCAACAATGGCCTCAGAAGAGGATGTCAATGCTGCGTTTGGAAAGGATATTGAAGGGAACCTTGCCCTATTTAACCATACCCTCACAATAATAGCTACGAAATCTCCTTCCATCCACGATGCATAGATCGTTGACAGTAGATGTGCTCAGCACATCTACAACATTACCGCTAGGTTTGTGCAAATAGAAAAATACTACGGACCACCACTAAGGAGCGTCAACACCTGTACAACCCCATCAGGGGTAGGAACAGTAAACATCCTATGCAATGTGCAAGGCAGAAGGAAATGGCTAGTGCTTGACAATATTCTCTTTGTTCCCTCAGCGCATGCAAACCTCATATCTGTGCTCCAGCTTCTCAAACGAGGAGCAAAAGTCGAGTTTTCAAGCCAAAGTGCCAGCATTCGCAACAAATCAAACGGGAAGAATCTGTACACTGCCAGCCAGTATCATGGCGTGTATGCACTTGATATTTAGACGAATCACAGCTTTCCCGCCTATCATGTCAGTCCACAGATGACTCTCTGGCATCACCGACTGGCCCACATGAGCGACGCAAATTTACGACGACTCAAGAAACAGGCGTATGGGGTCCGGGACATGGAACCACGTCAGCCATGTAACCCATGCCTTCAGGGACGCATGATTGAAAGGCCCCACAAGTCGTCCGGAAAGAAAGGAGAGTATGCAATGGAACTTCTCCACATTGACGTTGCAGGCCCATTTGATGAGGGCCTGGATGGCAGTCGGTACTGGCTGACCATCGTTGACGACTTCACGGGATGGATTGAAATCATCCCCATACCACGTCGACAAGAATTTGTTATAGAATCACTGCGTTTCTTCCTGGATCACAATGAACGTCCGGAACGAAAATGCAGACGAATACGGATGGACCAGATTCCAGAGCAAGTGGGAGAAGAAATGAAATTTACTCTCTTCTCACGGGCCATCCAAGCTGAAATCACAGGCGTAGACCAACACCAGCAGAACGGGGTTGCGGAGAGAGCGCACAGGACAATTTATAATCAGGTTGGCCCGACGCTCGCACGTACAAGGCTGCCTGCCAAATTTTGGCCGGAGATTGCTCAGACGGCAGCGTTCCTGTCTAACCGATCGCCGTTATCGAAGCTCAATATGACTCCCTATCAAGCTTGGTATGGTGACAAGCCAGACCTATCACGACTCCGAGTAATCGGGTCCAGGGGGGAATACCTAATTCCTCCCAAACAAAGAAAGAAAATCACGGACCCAAGAACGAGGCCATGTCTTCTACTTGGATACGAAGGGAATACAAACTATCGTATCCTGCTAGAAGACGGCAGAATCATTGGGACTCCAAATGCTGAATTTCATGAAGTCCTAATCACTCCCTCCACACAGACAAGACCAGATGTGGGAGCGGCACAAGACGACTCACCTGCGGTAACGGCTGCTGCCGCAGGGGGGAGTGAGACGGTGGGACTATTAAACCAACCGTCGGTAAGTACACGGCACACATCCGTGCCCGCCTCTGGTCGTCAAATGTCCACGACACCACGAGAGCAAAGACTGCCTGAGCTGGGTCATGAGCCATCGTCTCAGTCGAGTGACGAGAACTCGCAGCCCGTTGCCGGAGAGGGAGACACCCCATCGCCCAGCCGGAGTGAGGACGCCTTTGGACCATTTTCGGATGTTCCACGGGAAACTGCTTACGGGAGCGACTCACCAAGCGGCAGCGACCAGCAACAAGACGATGCTCAATCAGATCCAAGGCTAGGAGGCAGCTATGCAGAGCTCCAGCGTGATCGCCCAGCGGATACAGTGCAGCAGCAAGATCCAAGGTTAGGAGACAGCAATGCAGAGCTCCAACGTGATCGCCCAGAACATATCGTGCAACAGGAAGCACTTGAACATCATCCTGAACTGAGAATGCGGTCCTCGCAGGACGCTTCTCTTGAAAGTGAAGAAGAACTTGCATTGATGAATATACCTGAAGGGAAAGTAATCCCAACATTTCTAACATTAGCAGCAGATGAGACCGAACCTTTTGAACCAAAGACCCTCCGACAGGCAATGAACGATACAGGCTGGTCGGAGTGGGAATGCAATGACTGATGAAGTCAACTCACTTAGACAGAACAAGACCTGGGAGCTGGTTGACCCTCCCAAGGATCGACGAGTCCTTAGTGGAAAGTGGGTGTTCAAATTGAAACGAGGATCCAATGGAGAAGTCAGCCGCCACAAATGCCGATGGGTAGTAAGAGGCTTCACTCAAGAAGAAGGCATTGATTACGACGAAACATTCGCGTCCGTGGTCAAGCCAATGAGCTACAAGGCTCTCCTTGCCATCGCCGCGGCTTTGGACCTCGAGATCGAACAGATGGATGTCAAAACGGCATTCTTATATGGATATATCGACCACGAGATCTACGTCGAACAACCTTATCACATGACAGACGGCACGAGAAAGGTGTGCAAACTTCAAAAGGCACTGTACGGCCTCAAACAAGCACCCCATATCTGGTATCAGACCCTAACCAATTTCCTACGCACTCTCGGCTTCGAACCGATTAATGCCGACCTTGGTATCTTTGTACGGAGCAGCGTCTACATCGCAGTATACGTTGATAACCTTTTGATCATTAGACCCAGCATCGCAGAAATCAAGAACATCAAGCGATCCCTCAGAAACCGGTTTCAGATAACTGATTTAGGACCCTGCAGTTACTATCTCGGCATGTCTATACGACGAGACCGACAGAACCAGATCCTTTATCTAAGTCAAGAAGCCTACATCCACAAGGTCCTCCATCAATTTCAAATGGACGACTGCACACCCGTCACTACTCCAATCGACACTTCACCAATGCCAGAAAACGATCTAGATTACGTCTGTCCCGCAAATCAGAGAATTGAATATCAGCGTGTCGTGGGATCTCTGATGTATATCATGCTAGGAACCAGAGGCGATATTGCATACGCCGTCTCGATGGCGAGTCGATACCTATCCAATCCGGGACCACAACATGTAAAGCTTGCTCGGCGAATTCTCCGGTACCTCAAGGGCACAAAGACTCTTCAACTCACCTACAAGGGCCAACTCCAAATGCTAAATGGCTTCACCGATGCAGACTAGGCTGGCTGTCGTAACACAAGACGGTCAACAGCCGGATATCTGTTCAATATTAGAAGCGGGGCCATCAGCTGGCAGTCCAAGCGCCAGAGTGTTGTTGCCTTGTCAACCTACGAAGCTGAGTTCATGGGACAAACGCAAGCAACGAAAGAAGCCATTTAGCTGAGAAGACTTCTCAATAAACTAAACGTGAACCAAGGCAAGACGGCAACAATCATCTGTAGTGACAACCAAGGAGCCATCGCTCTGTCTTCAAACCCTCAGTATCATTCGCGCACAAAACACATGGAAATCCAGCGCAAGTGGCAAGGAGAGGTTCAAGGCACAGGGGCCGTTGAGCTAAATTACATACCAACCACAGAACAGATCGCTGATGGTCTAACCAAGCCTCTTGCACGAGACCGATTTGAATGGTTTCGACGGGGGTTAGGCATTGAGTGAGGCATGCAGGCACCCTTTCCTTTATTTTTCCCTCAAGGGTTTTGAAAGGTTTTAATGGGGCTTGTCTATACCGCGATAGATAGTCGCTGGCGATCTTTTCTTACTCAAAGATAACTGTAAAGAATATGATCACAAGGTCACGTGATGACTAGTGATTCCGAGGCTAATTATAGTCTCAACCCCTGAGTTGTATGTAACTAGAGAGACAAGTAATACACAGAGATTCAACGCATCGAATCATCTCCTTATTAATACTGACAAGCAACTGATCATTGATCACTATTACTGAACGATATCAATCCTCTGAGTCTATACGATCCATCCACCGATTTCTTTACAATAACCATCGAGTGGGAGTGTTGAATATAGATATCTCGGTGGATGTGTTGTTCCGATATGGAAGTGGGTCTGTGCCTACATGGTGTATATAACCAGTCCATCAGCCCCTCAAGATTAGAAAATCAATGAATAATCTGATACCTCTGAACTTGATTGATTGATTGATTGATTGATTGATTCATACACGCATCTAAGCCTAGTGGCCGGCGGCGCCTTCTAATTGGGCAGCGGGCGTACTACCGTATAAAAGCATAAATCAACGTCAACGTGCCAAGACGCTTCCGGCTTGGCGCTGACTTAGTCAACTCCACGCGAAAGTCTCGACACGTATCCGTATCCAGATCCGAAGACCACCAACAACAGATAACGAGCGAACAGAACGCCGAACCAACAAAGGAAATGTGTATATATACAAAAAGAGTGAAGGATCTCGGTGCAGGGTGACGTGATATTTATGCTTTGGTGCCCGGTTCTCTTTCCAAACGTGTCAAGTGGCTGATCCGTCCGAGCCGAATCAACATGGTTACTCTTCATCAGGATAGTGTCGCACTCACTGTGAGCGCGTGGTTGTTAAGGGGGTTGCGTGATGGAACTGCGTCAATAGACCAGTCCGCATCATAAATTCAATACTCTGCCGAACCCACTGAGGTTCGCTAAGGAGCTTCCGATAATCCGTTTCGCGTGCTTCTTTCCAGAGAGTCTCCATACGCAGGTTTATATGGGTAGGACACCGTATGAGGACGTGGGCCGTATCCTGATCCCCAAGGCCACATTCGCATTGAGGTGAGTCTTCAATCCCTACACTTGCTAGGAAGCTGCGTAGCGCTGATTTACCTGTTTGTAGTTGGATTAACACTGAACTCCAAGCCCGTCGTAATCCCTCGTGCAGCTGCAACACCATCTTCGTTGGTGCTTTGATTATCCGATAGAGATGCCGTCCATGGTTGGCATGCTCCCACTGTTCCTTCCACCTCTTTGCAAAGCCTGCATGTAGCCTCTGGCGACACACTGCCATAAGGATAGTTGACTGATTTGGAATATACGACATTCGTGCGGCGTGTGGTGTAGTCTGATTGGGTGCGCTGATCCTGGCTATGCGGGCGTTCTCCTGTGTACGCTGTGTCGCCTCGACTGCAGCCAACTTTGCCAGCTGGTCTGCTTTCTCGTTGCCTGGGACCCCTTCGTGGCCTGGCACCCACTGTAGTCGTACACGCCATCGAGATCGGTTGTCGCGTAGGAGGCCCAGGTGTCGTACGATCCGTCGAAGGATATACTGCCCAGAGGACCGCCCTGGCTGGCACGTGGCGCGTATTGCGGCTTGATTATCTGTGTAGATTGTGGCTTCGTGTGGGTTGTCATCGCATGGCTGGCTTCGGAGTAGGATTTCCAATGCCGCATCGATTCCCTCCAGTTCCCCTGCATAAACAGTATGTGTGTCAGATGAGCCTACTAGCTTATAAGCCTGTCCTATTGATGAGTAGACCGCTGCCCCAATCCCATTGTCAAAGCCGCTCCCATCGGTAAAGAACTGTATTGTTGTATCTGTTCCTGAGATTGCTTCAATAGCCTTGATAGCCTCCTCACGGGTATCGTCAATCCTTGCTTCTGGTGGCTCCCACCACGGTGGCACTACAAAGGGGTAGATTGTCTCGATGCGTTGGCTAGTATCACGTCCCATTTTGCGGTTGATGGCTGTTTCCAATCGATGAAGTGGCGACGTGTATGGGTCGTTACGGTGGGCTTGGCCACGTATTTGGTAAAGCGTAGATCGAAGTGGTGAGGTCATGATCCGCAGGCAGGCCTTCTCAGCCAGCTTTGCGAGCGTGAGCTCTGCAGGTGGTACATGGAGACAGACCTCTAGGGCCTGTCGTGACGTACGTTTGAACGCGCCGGATATCTGGTGAAGAGCCTGATCCTGGATCGATCGGATGGCTTGCTCTGCAGCTCGCTGCGCACCGGTGAACCCTCTTCCACCTCGTATATACCACGTGGAGCACGCGTACATGATCTGTGGTTGGAGGACAGCCGTGTATATCTTCCTTAGATGAACCAGGGGCGTTCCCCATGTCGATCCTGCGATTGAGCTTAATCCCGCCACCAGTTTTGCCGCCTTCTTTCTCATCTCCTGTACGTGCACTTCCCCAGTGAGGTGGGTATCCAGATAAACTCCTAGATATTTGATTGAGTCCGTAGGCTTAATTTCTACTCCCTTGATTGTGAGAGGTACATCCAGCCTACCACTCGGTTTAGGCACCATTTGGTGCTTCCGCCAAAAGTGGGTAAGTTGATATTTGGCAGGCGCAAATTTAGAGGCATGTGTCCTCTCCCAGC